TTAATGTGAAAATTGTATATGGTACCTGTGGCTTTGAAATTAAAATTACATAACTTAGCATGTAGAACTAATGAATATTACAAGAAAGTAAATACAAATGTTTAATTAAAAATTCATTATTTTCACTTCAATATTAACTCTATATTATTGTTTCAGATGTGACCACCAAAAAGAAATTGTTATTTTAGAGAGAACTATTGATAGTCTTCGTGAAGAACTATAAGAAATAACTAAAAATACACCAAATCAAATATAGATTTGCACCTGCAGGAATGTAATAGAAAAATCCGTCACTCTTAGAACTCCACGAGCCAAATAAATGTAAGATTATAATGTGTCAAGAAAGATAAAAAAGTAAACCTTATGTATCAACAATTTATAAACATTAATAAACATGAATAAACCAATTCCAAATAAACACCTCTGTGCTTTTTATTAAAATAAAATATTTTATGCCACGTGTTTCTATTTATTAAATACATAAACAGGTTTATCAGCACACAGCCGTACAAATTAGGTAATAGATTCATAATTATCCTATAAAAGTGGCTACTATTCAGACCCTTTAATCTGATTATTTAAGAATTTATTTATTTAATTTTATAGTCCTGTCTTTGTTAACATTTTACTAAATTTTATTTATGTAAGGGACATTTATTCAGTTCTTTCAGTAATTGAATCACATTTCATTTTTACATTTAAATCTACTTATTTGTACCTATAGGCCTTCTATCTATTCCAATTTTTATCGGGACTAAGAGATTAAAACTTTGTAATGGTGATTTCCATGAAAGATTAGGTTCTAGACGTTTTGGCTATCATCTTGATCCCAATCTATTAGATAGTGATGCTAGGTATAAAGATTTAAATCCTAGACGTACCTAACATCATCTTTATGTTTTGTGGTGGAAGAATTCATTTTCAGATGAACACTATATCTTGTTTATCTTCAAGAAAAATGCATATCAACTGATCAACTAACAATATATTAAGCTAAAAGAGCACAAAATATTTTTTATTTTGAATTTCTTTGCACAATGGTGAGTTTTCTTGGCATTTTCTTTGATCCTAACTTGATGTGATTTATTAGTTTTCATTTACATCTTAATATATATTTTGAGTTTTACAACGATTATAGAACTAGGAAACTAGGAAACAAAATGGAAACAAAGCAATTTTCAATCAATATTACATTATTTCTTACAATAGGAGTTTTAAGGCTTGGATTAATTTCGCCAAGATTTTTCTTCAGCCCTACATCTGTAAATTATTATATCGTTATACTCACCCAAGCTTTTATGTTTTTTACCACTTATATATATTGAGGACGAACATTTTAAATTTGGTTATTGTCGATTCGACATGATATTCGAAATATCACTTTGACCTGTAGTTTATCGTAATTTTATTCTATACAGGATATTTTAATCTTCGATACTTCAATACCCGAATTTCTTTATTAGTATAATAATACTTTTACTTCGATACTTTAAGAAATAAATAATATGTAATAAATTATTAAGTTTGTATAAAAAATAACATTTCAATATGTACCAAAAACATTTCAAACCCTAACAAGTTCGATATTCAGGTACCACTCTGCTCTTCTGAGAAGAATTGAAATAGAAAGGTTCATTCTCGTGTTACGAAAAACCAATAACTAAAGATTGTTTCTTTTTATACGTACCGTATAAAAAAACTAAACCTCTCATGTTTTTTCAAAGTTTATAAAGGCGAATTCTCTGTGTTCTTGTAACATCGTTATTTTATGTAGAATGAAAGCCGATATCAAAAGAAGCGAATTTTCTTTATTTTTTTCCATGAGACCTACTCACTGGTATTTCTATTATATATATTTTCTTGAATTGATTACTCTCACATAAGAGAGAGTTTTGATATCAAATAGTTTGCTTTTGATTTAGACAGCTCCGTTTGGAAGGAAACAAAAAACATTTTGTCGTTTAAATTTTTTCTGGAATTTACGTTTGTATCAATTGGTATATTGTTTCTTACTAAAATTATTTCAATCTTAGAATATATATAGTCAGAAAGGACAGAATCGCGATGGTATCTAATTTTGACAGTGAACTAGACGAATATGGCGACAAGTGTTTCCGGTCTACCAGTGACGTACTGTCATAAAGGGGCGTAGAAAATAAAATAATAAATTTTAATTTGCATATTATCTAAATTTACCGATTTCTCTCATATTGCTATTTACTTGCGAGAAGTTTGCATTTTTTTATTAACTTTCATTACGTAAATAAATTTACTTTAAAATTGCATGTTGGGTGGGATAAATATCGGAAAATATTTTTGAGATAATTTATAGAGGGATTTTATTTAAAAAATCAAAGCAATAATGTATTAAAAAAATATATTGACTCTTTTACGTCTTTATTATGACAATGTCTTTATTTAATCTATATTTTACAAATCATTAAGGTTTGAAAAATAAATGTTTTGTAAACATGCGTTAAAAAAAATTAAATATACTTATATTTATGCCAAACACCGCTATGATAATTCTTTCTTAGATGTTTTTGGTGAAGTTATATAAAACTTCCTAATATCGAAGAGAATTTCTGATCATTTTATTACATAATATTACTAGTAACTGGCTATCATATTATATAGATATAGTTTCATCTATTTGCTGTGAAGTTCTTCGAGTATTCCTTCCCATGATTCCGAGTTAAAGGCATTTTGCACATCTACAATTATCAATATATCATAATTTCCTGCGATGCTAATGGCTTGCTTCTTCCGCGATGCTCTAAACTTTTTTATTGCAACGATTGTGGACTTTTTCTCCCTTAAACCATATTGTTCTGGGGATAAATCACCCCATCTCTCAATTTAAGATTAGAGTTTGATAAGAATTAGTTGTTCCAGCAGCTTCGCCAATACATTCAGTACACAGATGGGCCTGTACGATATGGGGTCCTGTCTTGCTTTTCCTTTGTCTATTAACAATAATCTTGTCTTCCATTCTATTGGAAATTATCCTACGTTTATCATCCCATTTACTCCACTGATACATTTTTGAGGGTGGCTGCGGATTATTGTCTCTACTACTTTTTAGTTGTTAATTTGCCTTTATTAGTTCTTCTTCTGTAATTCTTGGAATTTTCTCTACCTCTACCGGCATCCTATCCCATTTCCTTACTTGATGATTCGGAAACAGTGCATTCGCTACTTCAATCTGTTGTTCGTCAGTCATGGAAATCGCGTTAATAAACTGTAGCATTTGTGTAACAGTCTGACTGCCTTTGCTCCAGCTGTCCGCTTCCACTTCGGCTATAATTTTTTTCCAGCTCTGTCTCTTTCCTTGTCTTATAGCCCAAGTTTTTTCTTTTCAGCTTATATCGTTTTCTAAGGATTATCTTCTGGTTTTCATTTTTTGCTTTGTTTGCTTTGTTTACCCTTAACATTGCCCTTCTACTTTGCACACATTCCATTCTTTTCTCAGCTACTTCCTAAGTTCACCAATAAACTGGTTTCCTCCTTAGTTTTCTCCTTTCGTTGCGAAATGTTTTATCACAAGCTGTCTCTATTGCGATGGTTATCTCTCTTTTGCCCTTTTACTCTTATCGATTACTTTGCCGAATTCTTCCATTAATTTATGCATGTTTTCTTTCTTGCTAATGTTCCTTCGGTCTTGTTTCTTGTCATTGTTTTCCTGGAGCTCATACAAAATATGTTGATATAAGCTCAAAATTTCTTCCTTTAACACTTTTCAGTTATTCAGGTGTTTGGCTATTTTTTTTGTAATAAAAGTTATGTCTATATAGAATTCACCATTTCCCCTTATAAATGTAGGTACGTCTTCTTGATTATGTATTACCAAGTCCTCTTCTCCTAGCCATTCTGATAGTATTTCTCCTCTTTTTTCTTTAAACTTTGAACCCCATAAGACTAATTTCGCATTAAAGTCACCTCTTATTATTATCTCATTCTGGTGCTGTCTCATGTCTTTTCTAAGGGCTACTAGGTATTCTAGAAATTGTTGTATATCCTCGTTTGGAGAAATATAGCAACTGTATATTACGATATTTTCTCTTTATCCAGACAAAACCGGGTATTTTCCCTGTTTATCTATGTTTTACCTTTGTTATAATTCTAATGGCCGCTTTTTCATTTTCATCCAGTATCCATTTTTGCTTTTTTGCTTTTATCTTATTTGGTTCCGCCATTATTATGATGTCAGTCTGTTTTTCTTCGGCAATTTTATATATTAAATCCATGGCTGCCTTTCGTCTGTTGATGTTTCCGTGGAGAATTATCATCGCATTTTGTGTAGTAGTGACTACCTTGGTGGTGGTAGCAATAACTGTTTTTCCGAACCTCTGCGCCTTAATCAAGCCCTTATATTTAGCGCAGTAGATTGTTTCCGTGTTGTGCTACTCTTCGTGATATAGGTAGCATCTTTCATGGTTCTCACAATCTTTTTTTTGGTGTTCTTTTTGTCCACATTTATAGCATCTTTCTTGATCGTTTGCTATATGCTCCACTCTGTGGCATCTGTAGCATTTAATCGGTGTGTCTAGCTCCTTTAATCTGCATCTGTCCCATCTTTCGCTTATAGTTCCTCAGGTATTTAACCCTTTTATTGTTTGCTTTATCTGCAATTTTCAGTTGTAGATTATCTTCAGATTCTTTGAAGTTTTAGAGGTACTGTTTAATTCTTTCTTGTATGTCCTTTTCTTCTATCGTCTCGTCTATGTCCAGAATTATAACTGCCTGTTTTCTTTGTTTTAGGCAGGGGATAATTAACGGTTTCTCTTCCCCAAAGTCATGCACACCCTCATTGTGGTCTACAGCTTAGTGTTGGGGGATTTTCATAAGGTTAACTCCCTTTGCCAATTTTGGTCCGCTCCATTTCATTAAAAAATCTAATAATTATTTAACTTGTTATCGTAAACAATAGTAGTACACCATGCTCTTAATATATAATGCAAAATGATTAAAAAAGAAGAGATATAAAATAAAGGTTATGTGTTTAAGTGAAAGTGACAGTTAAAACAGTAAAAAATTGACAGTATGTGTACTATAAAAGATATAGTATTTCTCTAGACAAATAAAAATGCATTCTCAAAATAACAAGAAGTATTCTGGAAATCCACATGCAACACCAAAGAAATTTACATCGACCCAGCGCTTTTCATTTAAACCAACTAGTACACCTGCATTGAAATCGATTTCAAAATGCGAAGCATTATCAAAATTAAAAAACGAAGTTGTTAGAAAATGCCCCAGTTTAACAAGAGCTCAATCCAAACCGCCTTTTAATAGTAACATGAGGTATGAAGTATTTTTAGCCAGAAAAAGAAAAGAAGCGGAACAGAAAAGAAATGGAATAAATCAACTTATCAAAGCAAAACGGGACGAGAACTGGGCTGCTCTAAAAGGAATTATACCCATTGCAAAATCCCCTCCATTTATTAAAAATAAACTTACTGATTGCCTTCAGCAAATACAAGAAAAGAGGTCAGTGTACGATAAACGAGCTAAACCGTATAATATAATGGCTAAAATTATAAATATAATTTCTGCACATGACAGAAAGTTTGAAAGACTTGAATCTATTAGAATGAAGGAAGCAAGAATGCAAAGAAGACAGAGAATGATGAAATACAAGAATAACGAAAATAAATGTACATACAATGAATACGAAAGCGAATTATTTGAAATACCTGAATCTCCAATAACGCCAATTTCTAAAAATCAAGAGAAAAATTCCTCTGTCTCCATTAGTAAAGTCACTAAAAATTCGTCAACCAAGAGTTTAAAAAATGGATTTACAAAAAAGGTTTTAACACAAAAAATTAATGTCAGTAGCAATCATCAAACTTTTTCTAAATTTGATTCTGAAGTAACATTTTCTGCAGAAGAATTAAAAGACAATTCGTTGGGAAAGAAAGCAACAAAATCTAATTCTGTGTCAAAAGTTATGAAATGTGGGGTTCTAAAGAAAAAGTTAGCTCCAAGAATGATTTCAAATAATCAATCTCTCTCGAAGACAAATTCTGAAGAGCATACTAAAGAAAAAAAAGCAACAGTACCCAGTACTCTCAAATCTCCAGACAGTAAAGTTTTACCTAAATTCTATTCTGAGTTAATTCTATCTGATGAAAATTCTGATGATAATGTTAATGATTATATTAGTTCCAAACAGCCTCAATACGAGGATTCAAATAATAATTTAACAACAGAAAAAACACTATACGATCGAATTTCTGATGCACCAATTGGATTCGACTTTATAAAATCTTTACAAGACGAAATTGATAAAATTAGTACAAAAATTGAAGAATTAGAATCCAGTAGACCGACTAATCACTTTCAGGGCAACGATTTGGTTAATAAGTGTAGTTTAAGTTCTTTAGATGACTTGGAATTATTCGAACTCATCGAGTGTATTGAAAATATGTTATAGGCATGCGTCTGCGCTTCGACTAATGATTATCTTACATATTTATTGAAGTGTATTTTAATGATATAAAGTGAAAGGTTTGCAAAAATGTACTTTGGTAAATAAAAAAGTTCAGTCGGTTAATGTTTTAATTAAAACAAAAAATATGGTGTTAAATAAATGAATGAATTAATTTTTTACCTTTACTTGATGGAAATCCTCATGGTTTAAATGAGAAAAACCAAACTTGAAAGATTTTCACAAACACTTTTATTAAAAAAAAAAATAATAATAAGTACTTCATTATAATTATTTTAAAGTGCTTCTTCTTCAAATGTGAATAATTTTTATTTCGGTATCTAATATGTTATATAAAGTAAATTAACTAAGTTTTTTTTATTTAAAATTAATGGCCATTGACAGAAAAATAAAAATAATATTAATTTATTTAATAATTAGGAACCCCTTATATACATATAAAACACAAATTACAGAACATAATAAATATATATAATATAATTGCTAAAAATGGCAGTTATTATTTCAGTAAGAAATAAAAAAAAATGAAATTCAACACAGTAAAACAATCAACTTTAAAAGCATAAAAAAAGAATTTACATAAATTTACAATAAATTAGAACGAAATATAATACAACACAACAAAACTATTGTTATATTAGCTACCTCTATCCGATATTCATTAAAAAATCTTTGATCTTTCTTTTAAATAGAATAGAATAATGTTTATTTATCAAAAGATAATAAGTACAGAAAGTAACGTAGGTACATTATGAGGTTAGACAGTAGATTTAGCAATTTAAAAACCAAACATGAATAAAAAAAAATAAAAAAAAAAATTCGTTAGGAAATATCAGTGGGTTTTTAATTATCAAATTAAATAATATTATTGTTTCGAAACAAACAAGAAATGACATAAAAAACGAATTGGATTTATATAAACTTTACATGATTCTTCATCTTTTTTTGAACACGTTTACACTTGAACTTGCTTTAACGTCATCAGGCAGAAAATTGAACTGAACTATACCGTTATGAAACAAACTTTTCATGGAGCTGGTTTTGTTACTTGAATTCATATAAAAATTTATAGAATTTGCCGTTCTAGTGTTACGCCCGTGAATATTTGCAACTGGTACGAGCTGACAGTTTAAGTATTCAGGTAACATGTTAACAATTTTATATATAAATAGGATCATCTGAATATAAAGTAGATGTTCAATTTTTATCCAATTTGAAGCTTTCAACATTAACTGTGAACTAGTAAAACGATTACATCCCGAAATTGCCCGCATTGCCTTAAGGTAGATTCATACTATAGGTCCGGTCACGGTCAGATCACGGTCCGGTCACGGTCCAGTCATATATTAGAATACGCAATTTCTATTAAAGTATTCATATTACTCTGCACGGTCAGGTAACGATCTAGTCAATTGACCGCGCTCTTTCTTTCTGCGAATATTTTTCTTTTGATGTTTATGGGATGCACCCAGAAACCCCTATTAGTTTTTTTTGGAGCTTTCGCTTCTCTCTTCCTCATCTAGGATGTAAGCCATTATGGCCAGGTCTCTTGTTGAACATTTTGAAAACATTGCTTGTTTTAAATTAACTGACAAAAGACTGATGAGCGACCGCAACAGTGTGAATAGTTCCTAAAAAAACCTGACCGCGACCGGACCGTGACCAGACCTATAGTATGAATCTACTTTTATTCTGAAGGATTTGTAACCTATCAAAATTAGAACACCTTGTATAAATAATAGTACTACAGTAATAGAAATGAGGTAATATCAGTGTATTATAGATGGTTTGTCTAGTCGATATAGATAAAAACAGTGATACCCTTCTCATAAAACCAATTTTCTTATCAATTTTTTTAGACATAACCAATATGCTTATTAAATTTCAATTCTCTGTCTATTATTAACCCTAAGTATTTTATTTCTTCAACATTCTCAATGACTTCGTCTGAAAATTAGTCCGCAGGTTACGACCGAGAAAAAAGAAGTCCTTTTGAATGCGGATTTGACCCAAAAGCAACTGCTCGACTCCCTTTTTCACTACATTTTTTTTAATCGCTATAATTTTTTTAATTTTTGATGTAGAAATTACTCTTTTATTACCTTTAATTTTAACAATAAAAATTTCTAATATTTATAATTACTCTACAATTCTCACTATTTTTATTATTATTTTAATTATAGGACCTTATCATGAATGAAATCAAGGAGCTTTAGAATGAACTAAATAAAGGATAATAGTTAAGTATAACATTTAATTTGCATTAAAAAAGTATTGATCTATCAATTTATCTTAAATAAGAAGTAAAATTTACATTTAGTTTCGACCTAAAAATTTGGTATATTCCTATTTTGTGCCGTCCCGTTTTGTGACGCGACCTTTTTCAGGTAAAATGTTTCCCATTTTGTGACGAGACGAATTTTTACCTGCAATAAACCTTATAAAAATTCCCATTTTGTGACGAGCATAAAACCACTTATTTGTTCCGTAATATTATATCAGTAAGTACCTTACCTACCTGATATAATCCTTTCACCTTTATTAACAATTTTGTTTTACAGGTCGATTTCATCATTTCGCCTATTGTCAATCTCATAGTAGTCATAAAAATATGAAATACATTTAAATGAAAAAAGTCATGTGCTTTTTAACAAAATATAATAAGTTTTTGCGATTTTTTTTTGGGTTGAGGACGGCAAACAAACTCTTTCTGTTTAACATTAATATCACTAGAAAATACTATTTTGTTGGAGTAAATACGGAATAAAGGTAATAATTTTGTACACTATATCATGACACTGTTACAAAATAGTGTTTTGTGTAACCTATGAATTTTGATAAATTTTTTTAATAGCTTTTTTTTAATGTATAATTTTTAACGAATTTTAAATGTAAAAATAAATACAGGAAATATTTTAATTATATATAAAATTGTTAATCCGACATAAATTTAGTATATTTATTTTAAATTATTAAAGAAATAACGAGGACAAATGCTGGTGACAAAAAGTAAACCATTTTTAAATTAAAAAAAAATTAATTTAAAAAAACAGTCAAAATAATATATACATAAATATAAATATATTCAAATTTAAAATAAAAGCTTGTATGTAAAATATAATTTAATACAAAATTTTGATTCACTGCATTTTTACAATAAATGCCAAATTTGTTAGGCAATGGCCAATGTCTATTTTTTCTTCAAGAAAGTCTGCAACTGTACAGCGAATTCTTTCATCGAGTTGCACATACTTGGTTTTCCTCTGTTTTGGCGTCATATGCAACTCAACCCTAAGTTTAAGAGTATCATAATATGATGCTTCTTCTTTGAGAGCTTGTGTAAGTTGAAAAATATTCGATTCACCCTTGCGATTTTTCCATTTAGTCTGTTTTACCAACCTTCCAAGGAATTGGTAGTTCGGTGCCTTTGATTATAGCACACCCACATTGTACCGAAAATATCGTTATAAGACACTGTTCCACGAAATATTCTTTGAATTTTTGCAACAGTGGATGATCTTTGAATTTCTCCGTTATCCACATCCAACCGTCGTCCACTTTATCAGGAGGAAGGTACTTTTTCATTCTCCCTATATTCGGGTGCCAGACCAATTTCTTGTACTTTTCGCCATAAACATTGGTTGAAATGAAAATTGCAACCAGTAATATTAATATTCGAAAATGTCTTACTAAGAGCCTGGTAGGTAGCGACTTCGTAATCAATTTTAAAATTCTTTGGCTTCCATAACGGTATATTCTTCTGAATTAAAGAAAAAAGCCTGGTATACGTTGTTTCCTTCTTGCCTGGCAGTAGAGCAAATACAACAGGAACGATATTGGTTTCACTCTCTGTGCTGCCTACGTCGACGTGAATTGTATAAAGCTGCTGAAATTGTGGACAACAGCTTTTAAATGTCCCATCACCAAAAAAAGCATCGTGTTCTGTCAGGGTTTGTCGTGCTTTTAGCGAAGCAAACACCAATATTTTGGCCTCCTAACACCTTGCGTCTGGCGGTGTAAAATAATTTCTTTTTGTTTCTGAAATTTGGTATTTCAGTAACAAATTCAAGTCCAGCATCCTCAGTGAAAATCTTGGACATTGCTGTTGTTTCCTCTCGAACTCTCTTTCTTGCCTCGTCTAAACATAGACTCACTTGGTTTTTGGCGACATTCGGTACACAGTTGTGGGCTGATGTTCGTACAATCTCGCCCTTGTAACAACAAAAATACATTGTCTTAGCTCTATGAACCATTATACCAGCAAATTCTTGAATGATAATGATAGATGATACTCTTACTTTGTAGAATCTATTTATCTCAAATGAAATATTTTTACAAAAATCTACACAAAATTAATTAACGTTTCGATGCATCATTTCCAAAATCATCGTCAAAAACATAATAATTAAAAGCATAATTAAAATTTAAAATTTAACATTATTTGTAACAAAGTCACATTGATATCACTTGACTAATCGTAAACAAGCCATGTCAATTGTTTTTAATGATGATTTTGGAATAAATTGAAACGCTAATGCATTCTTTGTACAGTTTTATAATTAAGTCTTTGATTTTTATTAAAGTTGGCAAGAAGTCTTTACCTTCCTATACAAAACTCCACACTATTTATATTACAGGTAAAACACTTACTTGAATCAATCTACAATTGTTTCGCAAAACAAATTCAGCTTTGAGAAACAATTCTAGATTGATGGCTAAGTATTTTATCTGCAATATAGTGGAAATTTACATTTTTTTTACAAAAAAAAATTGATTTTTGAATTAATTAATAATAATAGTTTAATTTCTTCATTAGGTCTATATAGTGCATAAAAAGGCATTGGCGTTTAAAGGTGATTTTTTTAAATTGCCTGCAAAGTATTGAAAATAAAAAATTACAAAATAAAATATTACAATTATAACAAAAATTGTGAAAAATATTAAGGACACAGTTACCTATTTGTTAAAATTGCACAAGGACAAAATATATCTATATACAATAAAAATAATAATAATAAAAATAATAAAAATAAAAATACTTTCTGGCTCGAAGTT